GACACTTTTCCATAATAATTGAACGAAATTTTTCGCCAAGATTTCTGGTCGAGTCGTGTCCAACCAACTTATAGATCAAATAAGTGGTAAGTTTTAAATGAGTAATACTCTTGAGTCCAGACAATTGAAACTCTTTTGAAACACTTTCATAGAAAAACAAGTCTTCGATTGAAAGATATTTAAGTATCCATTCAGTCATATCGTCGTCAAACCTGTCAAACGAGTCTCTAGTTTTACCATTCATTAGATATTGATTGGACTTCTTCTCTGATAATGACATAACTGTTTATATTTGATTTGATTTTTTTGTGACAATAGTTCATAAATATATTATTTGATATAAACTTATTTATAAAAAATTAATTTTTTGTAGTATTCTTTACTCGCAAATCGTTATCTCGCTATAAAAATATATATGTATTTAACGCTTAAGTCTATACAGTAATTAATTGTTATAAAATCACATTAAATTACATACATATTGAACGAGACATGCAATTGTTAAACAAAAAATATTAAAAATGATTTTTTTTTAATTTTATTTTTCTTTAGTTAAATTAGTTTTGTGATGGGATGGGATGGGATGGGATGGGATGGGATGGGATGGGATGGGATGGGATGGGATGGGATGGGATGGGATGGGATGGGATGGGATGGGATGGGATGGGATGGGATGGGATGGGATGGGATGGGATGGGAGGTAAGTGACTTAGATTAGGTAACAATTATAAATCAGTACAAAATGTGATTTAATTGTATTTGATTGACACATACATTATATAACAATGTATTTTAGTGACTAATTAATAATATTATAGACTTATTTTAACAACAATTTTTTCAAACAAATAGAAATAAATAATATTGAAAAAAATAAATTAATATTATAACGGAAAAACTTTGATTACATTTAAAAATAAAATAGTTTTCTGATTTCATTTTAAATAATATCAATTTGTTATTATTATCTATTTGTATATTTATTTTTTGGTAGACAATGAATATTACTATTTGTTTGATCGGTATTTATAGTATTTATTAGTCAATTAAATTTTAGATAAATTTTTTTAAATGTGTATAAAATAATATGTTTAATATTATGATTGATTTTGATAGCAACAGTATTGATATCGACAATCGGATCTGTGGTTCAAATTGATTACAAAGATTTTTGTACAGAATATGTCCGAAATGATCATAAAATTGATTTTGTCTTTCGTTATGTCAAAAGTCAACAAAATGCTGATACAAATGACTATCGAAAGTACTTATTCTTCTACTTCTTCATCGGCAACACCTACTGGAAGCTGACATACATTGACGGCAGTGTTACCATTGATACGGTAAGTACCGGTCAGTCTAACTGGTTGTCCGGTGAAAAGTACGGCCGATCGGAAGTATAAAGCCCAGTGATAAAACAGTGTTTTTTCAACGGAAAATACTATTTTGGGTCCTAAAAAACATTAAGCGATAAAAATAAAAGTGCGGAAACACCTAAAACCTTCTCAAATCTAACATAACATAACTGACCCCACATACATAAACATAGTGTAAAAAAAACTTTAATATATAAAAATTATTAAACATGCATTAAAGCACGAGAATAAAAATTATAATTATTAACAATTATAAAATAATTATAAAAACATTTTCATAATATAATTATATAATAAATAGCTAACATGGTGTTCGTTCTCAACCTAATCTAAATTTCAATGTTAACCTAATCTATACAGTACTGTGGTTACCGAATCAGTGTTTGTCGCGTTACCTAACCTGGTGTTTGATCCGCAACCTTAACCTTATTATAATGGTATTACACAAATGTTAACATAACCTAATCTAATGTATTAGTGTTCGCTCCGTTACCTAACCTGGTGTTTGATCCGCAACCTTAACCTAATTATAATGGTATTACACAAATGTTAACATAACCTAATCTAATGTATTAGTGTTCGCTCCGTTACCTAACCTGGTGTTTGATCCGCAACCTTAACCTAATTATAATGGTATTACACAAATGTTAACATAACCTAATCTAATGTATTAGTGTTCGCTCCGTTACCTAACCTGGTGTTTGATCCGCAACCTTAACCTAATTATAATGGTATTACACAAATGTTAACATAACCTAATCTAATGTATTAGTGTTCGCTCCGTTACATAACCCTGGTGTTCGATCCGCAACCTTAACCTAATTATAATGGTATTACACAAATGTTAACATAACTTAATCAAATGTATTAGTGTTCGCTCCGTTACCTAACCTGGTGTTCGATCCGCAACCTAACCTTATTTTCAATAGTAACTTTACCTAATCTATATAATACTTGGGGTTTAAAAAAAAATTATTCTATCGAATAATTAATATTAAAAATATTAATCTCGCGCTTAGTTCTAAAAATAATGTATTATTATTAAGTTTTATCAATAGTAATATTCTCGCGCTTACAATAACAATTAGTTAGATTACTGTAATAATAATGTTATGCTATGTATGTCAGGTCAGGTATGTTAGGCCAGTTTTGAGTAGGTTTTAGGTGTTTCCGCACTTTTATTTTTATCGGAATATGTTATTTAGGACCAAAACAAGCATTTTCCGTTGAAAAAACACTGTTTTATAACTGGGCTTTAAACTTCCGATTAACCAAAAGTACTCAATGGTCTGGTGTGTCACAGATATTAATAATAATAGTACAACAAAATTGTCTAAACATTCAAACAATACACACAATGATGATCATGACTGGTGTCGTGTCGGTGCACTACAGGTACTGGTAGTTATCTAACTATATATATAAACCAATAGCATATTATTTGATTGATTTTTTAAAAAAAAATTTAGAAAAACTTGAAAACTATTGATTGGGCCGTTGTTTCTGTTGACACAATGAATATCAAACAATCGCTTAAATCATCGATCATTACGTTTGCCGATAACTTTGAGCCCCTATTGTTTTGGGTACCGGTAGGTGTGACCTATCAGTCAGTAGTAATCTTTATGTCGACCAATGGTACGACCAGAGCCTACAACTTTGGTGACCTAAACAAACTGAATGATAATTATTATTTTGATGATAATAACACCACCACAACAACACCATCAACTTATGAACCGGTTGTCTATGGAGAACGGGAACAGGAGATTGTGGTAAATGAGCGCAGCAGCCAACCAATTATTATGGCAATAGTTGGCCAGTTTAGTCTAGCCGATTGTGTTGGCAGCTGTAACAATGGTAGTCTAAATGGAGGACAGGGATCTCTAGTGTTTATCAATGTCGACAAATCGATTATACAATATTGCTATAGAGATAAATCATCAAGCAATGTTAGTTATATATATACAATATAACTGTATATTATTAAATTAGACTCACAAAAAAAACTATTTGATAACTATTTTTATTTTATAAAAAACTTTCTCCCCCCCCCCCCATGTATTAGTGCAAAACCCCCCAGACATTGATCGACTGTTCCCATATAATAACAACAATAACAACATTCTGGTTAATCAAAGACATAATAATGTCTGTCATCAGTTGTATGCTATTTATTATAGTTTTTGTAGTATTTATAGGAATTTGTGAATACGTTTGTGAATATATTTTTCTAAATGATGATACTGTTGATGATGATGACGATGATGATGATGATGATGATGATGATGATGATAATAATAATAATAATAATAATAATAATAATAATAATAATAATAATAATAATAATAATAATGATATTGATATTGATATGCGTGGTGGTGGCGATCAATCATATAATTTCTAAATATTTTTATTTAATATATATATATATATATATATAAGTAAATTATTTTTATATAATATTTGTATTTTGTAATATTATGTAATATACTCTATAATATTTAGTATTTTTTTTTTAATTTTTAATATATTGATATATCTACATATATACAATATATATATATATTGTATATATATACTATAATATTAGACTTTAATTTTTAACAAAACAAATTTTTAAAAAAATAAAACAATTTCTATACAACAACAAAAAAATCAATCTATAAATCATAAGCTAATCTCTTTTGGAGACAATCTGTACGATTGACAGCTAACTATTGACCGATATATGGCCTTCAATTTGGCCGTCAAAGTGGTATCAATGATACGGATATATATGTATTTAGATTTCGGCATTTTGTCCATCAGTTTACGAAATTTTTTTTCACTAATATTATTGAATATCAGATAAGCGATGAATAGATGGTTCAATGATGACAACTGCGATATACTTATCAAAGCTGTCCGGTCGTCGACAAGTGTCGGCCACACTGAATAAGGTCTTAGTTTTAGCGATTGAAGTCGCGGTAGATTTTGGTAAATATCGGCAAAGAACTGGTCATTGACTATCAGTTTTATCATTTTGACTCTGAGTGTCAAATGAGTCAATTGTGGCCAACAGTCAGCAGTTTTCATGTCTTCGTCTAAAAGTTTTTCACTAACAATGTCATCGTCGTTGTCATCGTAATAGTGGTTGTCATCCAGTTTTAATCGTTTCAATTGATTCATACGTTTGATGTCTTTGAATATTTGGACAAATGCCAGGACATTGATTTTATCATAAGTTAAACATAACTATAGAGACGCTATATAAGTCACGCTTCACTACTAACTAACCTAAAAAAACGGTATAATTTTTATTACAAAAAAAATTTAAACTTAAAAATTTTATTTAAAAGTTTTCTAATTATAATTTATGTATAAATATTTTTATACATATATTTCTATAATAAAATTCAATTCAAATTAATTTTTTAATAATTGTAATTTTATTTTTTTGTTGGTATTTTTAAATACCACATAAACACTATATATAAAAGATTTACAATAATTGATACAAACAAAAAAAAAACAATTAAAAGTTAATAAAATTTAAATTCAAATATTCTAAAAAATTCTAAACATATTTATAAAAAAAATTCATTCAAATAACCAAAAAAATATCAATCAATCAATTATTATCTAAATCTTCGGTCGACCTCTAATACCGATCCGACCCGTAATATGTTGTTTGCGATGAATGTGCAGTCCGGACAACGACGCGAATCGTTTGCCGCATCCGTTATCGCGACACTCGTACGGCTTTTCGCCCGTATGTCGGCGCTTATGTACGGTCAGTGCGCACTGTTGGGTACAGCTAAACGTACACCCGGGCCAATCGCACTGGTAAGGCCTTTCGCGAGTATGCCGGCGCATGTGTGCCACCATCGAGTATTTGACTTTGCATCGAAACTGACAGCCCGGCCAATCGCACGACATTTTTTTCACCTCCGAGTGTACCAGTTTGTGATTATCGATCAACGATTTGGTAAACGCCCGGTGCTCGCAACCGGGCCAATCGCACTGGTAGTTCAATAGTTTTCGGTGAAGGTTATCCCGGTGCATTTTCAAATGGTATAGGGTCTTGACCCGTACACGACAGTTGTCCAGCAGACAGACAAATACCGATGACGGATGACAGCGTTGCTGATGACGACTACATAGCCGGCGATCAGTGTATACCTGAGCGCAAACATAACACGCGTAATGTTTGACGACTTTGCCGTTACCGTCATCGGCGGTAGTCATCACAATCGGTTTATTGGTCTGATTGTGTTGACAGTGATGTTTGTAGAAGACGTCTTTATCGCCGATCGGACAACTAAACTGACAATTCTCGCGATGGCAAACATATCGGTTGTTGTCGACTAAGAATAATTCGCAGATTATATCCATATTCTTCTTCCGATTATTTAGCGTTTGTTTCTTCTTCTTCTTATTCGTCGTCATCTTCTTCTTGTTCTTCTTCATGTGCACTGTCTTCATGTGATCGATAAAACCGCGTATAGTCTTCAGCTTTACCGGACAGTCCGGCCGATTGCAAACATACAGTGCCGGCGGATGAACATCACGTTTGTGGTTCACAGCGTCCGCCAGTGTTTTGAACGGCAAACTGCATTCGTCGCACACAAACGGCTGGTCCGGGTTATCGGTACGGATCGGATCAAATGTCGATGTATTGTGTTTCTTGTAGTGTTCGTAGAAGACATCCCGTTCCCCCAGTGGACAACTATGCTGACAGCTTTCCAGTGGACAGACATATTTGTTTTTGTTGTCGTCGTCGTCACCGCCGTTGACTATGAAGTGCTGCAAAATCCGATCAATTTGTTGATCATTGGTTTCTCCAACAGATTCTTGAGCTCTCAATCGCTTTGACTTTCGTTGTCTTCTATTCTTCGATGTCCACTCAAAATCGCTATTGTCTTCGTCGTCCTCGTCGTCGTTGTTCTCAAAATTACTGTCATTTAAGTTGTCGACGAAGAAATCACGATCTCTGACCAGATCATCACTTTGTTGACTATTGTTATCACAATTGTTATAATCATTGATAGATGCAGTAGTAGTAGTAGTTCTCCTGCGGTTTCGTACATTAATCCGACAATTTTGCCGATCATCTACAGTCTTCTTCAAGTCTTCCGAGTTATCGGTAATCAGTTTGTCATCAGTTTTGTTGGCCGGTATTCTTGTTGTTGTTGCTGTTGTCTTCATTGTCAGCTTTCTGTGTACGTTCTCCTTGTGTCGGACGAGACTTCTCAGTGTCTTCAGCTTAACGCCACAGTCCGGCTGATTGCAGACAAACAGTGTCTGCGGATGGACTTCGCGTTTATGTCTGACGGCGTCCGATATCTTGGCAAACGTTGAACTGCATTCGTCGCAACCGTACGGCCGCTGTCTATTACCCGTCGGGCGGTTCGGTTCGTCGACCACATCGTGTTGTTTGTAGTGTTCGTAGAAGATATCCCGATCGCTGAGCGGACAACTAAACTGACAATTCTCGCGAAGACAAACATATTTGCTATCATTGTTGTTGTCGTCGACAACAAAGTTCTCTAAAATAGTATCGATTTGTTTATCGGTAACCACTCTATCGTTGTCTGCAGTTTTGTTGTTGTTGTTGTTGACCACTACTGTAGTATCGGATCGGTATTTGTCGCCGGTTTTCAACGGCTTCACCGGCGAATTGATTAGTTCTGTTCGTCGCCTTGACTTCATTAGTCGTTTCCTATTCTTCGATGTCCACCACTCAGTATCGCTGCAATCATTGTCGTCGTCGTCGTCATCGTTAGTGTCGCTATTGACGACATCCTGACTGTCTTCGGGACAGATATCACAAACGGAACTATTGCTTTGTATGCTATTATTTTCTTCATAGTCTTCGCCGTTCAACTCGTTTAGGCCATCGGTTAACCGATTTGTGTCACATTTCTTCAACACTTCTTTGGTATCGCACTTGACATCTATTGGTTCTGACTTTTCTTCTATCACTAGATCTTTATTATTATTATTATCACCAAAATTATTATCGGTTTGAATACACTTATCATCACAAGTTGTCACAGCAGCCAATAGACACCGACCGTTGTCCTCGCGAAATGTCCGCAAACTTTGTTTTTCTCGTCCAATCCGATTCTCCAGTTGTCTAACTGATCCGATCAGTTGGACAATCTTCGTGTTACTATTTTCATCCAATTGGCACAACTCGATGATCGCGACCAATGTTTCGTTACATTCTTCCAGCAATTTTCGGATCAGATCTGATTTATTCAGACACCACTTCAACAATTGATTTTCACGACTCTTCGACGCCAACTGTTTGCTATAGTCGGCAAAAATATCGGTCAATCTGATTGATAATGTCTTCAATGGCAATGTTTTTGTGTCCATCAGTTCCAGTCCCGACTAAACCACTAAATAAAACTTAATAAATAATAATTAAAAACAAACAAAAAGTTATGAATCAATCAAATTGAATGATGATTATATCGATTGCTACAAAACTATATGAAAATAAAAAATAAAATAAAAATATTTTCGAAATAATAAATTCAAATAATGTTTTGTTTTTTTAAATATTATTATTATTAATAATAACAACAAAATTTCAAATACATTGCATATATAACGTCAAAATAAAATTTTATTTATTTTTTTAATATACAAAAGTGTTTAAAAAAAGTATTACTTAAAAATAATAAATAAATCTATTTAAAATTATTTATTTAAAAATAACATTTATTTGTACAGTATTTATCAATAAATACAGTAGAGTTTACACTAAAATTATTTATTATTATTATATATAAAAAACTATATAATATTTTAAAAATAATTAATTTAACTTAAAAAACTAATTAATTTTAATACTATTTGTTTTTCAGGTATGAGTTTTAATTTTTTAAAAGTATTAATACTGTATTATTATTACAGTAATAATAATAAAGTCAAATAAATAGTATTAAAAAAAGGTTGATCCATAAATAAATAGGTGGGTGCAGCAGATATTTTAATATATTAAAATATTTAATTGATAAAATGCAAATATTAATATAATTGACAAAAAAAATAATATTTATATTGTAATATAAACTATTTATAAACTTTTATTTTCTCTCAAAATTTCAGTTAGATTATAATTTAATTTATTTTTAATATATATATATATAATGAATTAAATGTTTAATATAATGATTTATTTATTAATAAATAAATATTATAAAATAATATTTAAATTACCGGTAAGTTAACAGTACAATAACTTTTCTAACATATCATAACATATACTGTATATTACAACAACAAAAAAAATTATCGGTAATTATTATTATCATTATTATTACGGTATAATATTTCAGTTAATTTAACCGAAATATTCACATCATTTAACCGGTATTTTGTGTTGTTTTCGGTGAGCGTTCAGACCGGGCATCGATGAAAATCGTTTGTCGCAACCGTCGTAACCGCAAACGTACGGCTTTTCGCCGGTATGTCGGCGCTTATGTATCTTCAGGGCGCAGTGTACGGCCGCACTATAGGTACAGCCGGGCCAATCGCATGCGTACGGTTTCTCACGGGTATGTGTACGCCTGTGGACAACCATAGCCCACTGCAATTTGCACCGATACTGACAGCCCGGCCACTCGCAGGCCAGTCCTTTAGTATCCGAGTGGTGCAATCGATGCTGTTTCAGATGCGATACCTGTGCCCCCCTGTACTCACATCCAGGCCAATCGCATACATAATTACGTTTGTTTTCGTGGACAACATTCAGATGGGCGACTAGTTGTTTGAAATTTTTCAGCCTATGGCCACAATTGTCCCGACGGCATACGAACGGTAGTTTTGAATGTATATCGCGTACGTGACGCATGAAACCACATAGTTTATCCCATGTTACTGAACACTCAGGACAACCGTACGGTCGCTGGGGGTTATCAGTGGCTATCGGTTCGACCAGTTTATCGTGGGATCGATGATGAAGATAGAACTCTTGGCGTTCGGCGATTGTGGCCACAAATTGACATCCCTCGCGAAAGCAGACATATTGGTCGCCGATTTGATACTTTTCGACAATTTGATTGATTATTCGGTCGGAAATTTTGAACCCAAAACCCTTAATACTATCCATTGGTTTGACTAAATTCTTGAGTCGTTCATGTTTTCGCAGATGACTATAAAAATGTCGGATAACTTTGTGGCTAAACTGGCAGCCAATCTCCCGGCAGACAAACAGTTTGTCCACTCGATATTCGTCGCAAATGTTACGTATTCGGGCCAACTCTTCCCGATGTTGCCGATCAAACGGATTCACTGATTGTTTGTCTTCAATCTTATGTCGATTCAAATGCTTATACATCTCTGATTTCTTGCTACTAGTATACTGACAGCCGTGATAATCGCAAACGTATTGGTCGTCGACCAACAACGGCAGCACCCGATTGTTCATTCTTTCCTTTTTTTTCAACGATTTCTCAGTCGGTTTCGGTTTTCCGGTTTTCTTCGGTGACCTTCGTTTTCGCTTCTTTGACGGCGACACCATATAATCATTGTCACTATCACTGATCAGATCAATGTCTTCAACATCATCATCGACATCAGTATCATCGCTATCGGCGGCGTCGTCAAAGTCATTATCACTGGTGCCGGCAATCGGCGAACAACTTATCATTTCTTCATCGATTATAACATCATTTTTTACTTCAGATTTACTATCAGTCAAACTGTTGTCAACTGTTTGATAATTGCCATCAAATTGTTTATCACCTGAAACTGTCGGCACTGTTATGACTACCGATGACCATCCGGACGGTGATGTCAACAACAACTGTTTGTTTGAATTTTCTTCGACCATCTCTTCTTCCTCTTTGATCGTCTGAACGGACTTATCATACGTTAAAACAATCGATTTCTTCAGTTTCTTACAGTGATTCCACTCACGATTCAGTCTATCCGTTGTCTTCACATTGAATTCCTGTCGATCTCTATCAACAAATGTCTTCAGGGATTGTTTTTCTTGTTCAATACATTCTTCCAACTGTTTAACTGATCCAATCAATTGTTGAAATCGTCGATCAGGACATCGACGACTACTACTACTACTACTGGTATCCAATTGGCATAACTCGATGATCGTTACCAGCGTTTCGTTACATTTTTCCAGATATTTTCGGATCTGATCCGCAGTTTTCAGACATGATTTCAGTGACCGGACTTCTTGTTGCAAATCAATCATCTCTTTCTGACAGTCCATCCAAATGTCGGTCAACTTAACTGATATTGTCTTCATTGTTGTTGTCATACTATAGTTGTAATTGACTTTAATATCATAACTATTACTAAATCAATGATTGTTTTTTTTGTGGTTATATTGAATGCAACAAAAAAAATATATTTACAATACTTTTAACAATAAGTTATTATAACTGTTTGTTTGTAAACAACAACTACTACTACACTGTAATGTAATGTCAATACATAACGCAATGTATTATTATATTTAATAAAGTATTGAAAAAAATTATTATTTTTTATATATTTAACTTAGTTTTATGATTATAATTAATGTCACCAATTAAAACATTTATACTTATGTTAATATTATTAAGTGAAACGTAAATAATTTTGATAATTAAATTTATTTTATTTTTTTAAAATAATATCTTTTAATTACTATATAAAAGTTATAATAATAATTTTTGACGTATTTTTTTTGTCTACTAAATAATAGATTACGTTATATATTGACATTACATTACAGTGTAGTTGTTGTTTACAAAAACAGTTAATAACTTATTGTTAAAAGTATTGTAAATATATTTTTATATATATTTTTGTTGCATTCAATATAACCACAAAAAAACAATAATTAAAATTTATTACAAATCAAATGCTTACCGTTAAATTATGTCTAATTTCCCATATATGGAAATGTCATGGGAAATAATGCGAGTTTTCTCCCATATGAAAAATATAGTTATGTTTTTTTACTTGTTGTATTTTAGTGCTTATTTATTACCATGGGTGGTAAAAAATGCTAGTTTTTTTACCATATGAAAATGTTTGTATAGTGTTAATATTGTACAGCATTGGATAACATTAACCATCAACATTTATGATTATGATTATAATTCTATTGATTATATTAATAAAACTGTCCCAGTTTAATTTTTGATGATTAAACGATTTGATAGATATATCCAAGACGCCATTGTTTTCAACCGTTCAATAATTAGTAGGGCTTCATATGTTCATATGTCACATCTATACTTAACATCCCCTCCTCCTCCTCTGTGTGCATACGTTTAGAAGTTGATTCAATTGACGCATTTGCATCCGTAGACGATAACAATATGATTGAATACTATAAAGCCGATCCATTTTTAGTAAATTATTATTATTACTACTACCATATGTACAACCATACAATCAATAGCCGATCTCTTAACTAATAGTATGACTGATGTAACCAATGTATGCAATAATTCTATCAAATAACTAATCAAACAGAGATAATGTAACACTTTTGACTTATATATAGTGTTATAATTATTATTAATAGACAGTATATAACTAATAAATATATGGTTTGTAGCCGTTTAATGTTATTATTATTATTAAATGCAAAATAACTATTTCCAGTAAATTTAATAAAATTTTTTATATATAAATATCCCGGATGTCTAAGTTTAGTCATTTAACTTAGCGGTTCTACAATACTATCTATTCAATTTTTATACATTATTTTAATTTTTAAATAAAATGTTTCTTTTTTGTAAAAACTATTATCATTACATTTATATTAATAATTTTTATTATTATATATTAAATTTTATATAAAAACTTTTATATATTATTATTAGTATATATGTTATAAACTATGTTATAAAACTAAAACTACTTTTACTGAATCTGTATTTATTATGGTAGGGATGGAGTGCTTATAGGTCCGTATCAGGATTTAATATGGGAAAATAAACCCTCCCTTAATTACGCAACGCAGTTGTAATGACACAATAATGAAGTAATACATAAATAATTCACAAATTTATTTATTTATTAATAATTGGCAATGATAACAAGTACCAATAAACCATTTCCATAATATATGAATAACAATAGAGTTCTCTTTATCCAAATTTTTTGGATTTACTATTACCTAAATATTTTTCAGAAGCGTAATTAATAATTACAATATTTGTTTTTAAACAAAAAGTATGCAAATCATCCTGTAAGTGGTGATGAATGACAATTTTAGACGCATCATCTCTTCGAATAACTTTGCCATAGTAATATGTAGTGCTATTTTCGATTTTTACTGTAATTACTGCATTATTTTGCATCAAAATAATAGCCGATTTCCAAAAGTTTGTCTTTTTCCAAGACTTTTTTCAAATTCATTCAATTTTTGAGGAGCCAAAACAATTAATTCTTGAAGAGATAACATGTCAAATTCTTCTTCAGGTGATTCTTGATGTTTATTCTCTTTAATTTCTTTTTAAACTTTTCAAAAATATTTATTTTATACGTTAATATATTCCAAATATATTTATCCAATTGATTTTTTGATGTCTATATAATATAAAATATATAAGTATTTACATGTAAAACTAATTATACAAGCTACTTACTAATTTATTTGCAAGTAATCCTCGATTGTTACATTGAATTAAACGTCTAACAATTGTAGATAGTTGAGTTAAATCTTTATAAAACTTAATGTCAAAAAAAATTCATTATTTGTTTTGACAATATAATTAAAAACTAATCGCAATTTGGCAATAGTTGTAGCTTTTGATTTTTGCTATAAAAAGAAAAAACAAAAAATAAATTTAAAGAATTAATAAATATATATATACTTACATAATTGTCATATTGTTTGATTAATGCTTTATACTAGCAATTAAAGCAGACTTTATAGTTGCAATTTGTTGGGACCAAGTGATCAAAAGGCTCAACATCGAGCCCTTGTTCAAAACAAAGAAAGAGCATTCATTGGTAAGTTTCATATTGAGAGACATTTTAGTTGTCTGTTTGAATGAAAACTTTAAAATGATTTTTGTTTTTTAATATCATGAGTTTATATACTTCCATTGTTGGGAGTGGGCCATCTCGTGAGTGGCCGAAATTTCCTCGAAACAATTCTTGAAGTTTTTGATGTTTCCTTTGGTGACAATCACCGTTTGCGCGGCCGCTGCTGGTCTTGCGGGTCTTGTCCTCCGCCATTTCCTCCGACGGCTGCCATTTCGAAAAACTGCTTGCACAAAAAATGTTTCCTTTGTTTTGCAGCACACAACCGTACCGTCGTTGGTGTTGATGTGATTCAAACGCAAACTTTCATCGCCGTCGAACAGCTGACAAAGAAATGAAACCGTGGCCTCGGCTGTCTGTTTGACCGCCTTTTTCCCAGACCGTTGGACCACTTCCACCAAGTGATGGTCACCAAAGGAAACAACAAGAACTTAAAGAATCGCTTCGATGAAGTTTCGGCCACTCACGAGATGGCCCGATCCAAGTCACGTGATCGTTATGGGGCCTACGAGGAACAAGCCCGGCAAAAAACGCGAACCGAAATTCGTCTGCAACAGGCCGAGCCGACTTAGCGGCGCGGATGACCGCAACCCCCGCTTTTGCGCGGCCAACCATCAACCGTTCTGGGAACCGTTCGGTTCCTTCGATGTCTTTTTGAGATCTCTTAATTGACTTGAATTGATTTGATGTCTGATTTGTTCAGTCGTGAATTGGTTGATCCTTGAAGACTGCGCCAAATTGTGTCCCTGGATGTGGTGCGGGCAGCAAAATGAAGGACACAATCAAAAAATGGTTTGTCAAAAATTTATTTGTAAAATTAAAAAAAAATTAAAAAATTGTTTTTGTGTTGTCTTTTCAGGTGAAAGTCAATCAAGAGATTGAAAACAAGAGAGAGAGAAAAAAATGATCGGTCGACCACTTATATAGTGGTCAGTCCAATAGGACTGACCTATCGGAGGGGAGAGAGAGAGAGGGAAAAAGGGAGAGCATATCTGTGTGTGTATATATATATGACAGAGTGGCCATCTAAAGGCACATATTTATTATACTTTATTTTGTTTTTTTACAAAATATATATTTAATAATACAAATTTTGCTTTCTTTATTAATTATATTATTAAATTTTATGATAAAATTTATGTTAATAATATATTTATTGTAAATATGCTGAAAATATTTTCTATTATTTTTTTACATTAATTAGTTTTTAATAAAATTTTAGTTGCAAATTAAAGTAATAAAAATATTTTTTATATGCTTTTATATATTTTAAAAATATAATTACTCTTAAATTAATATTAATTTTAACTATATTGAGATTAATTTATTATTTATTTAAATTTGAAAAAAATTTAATCAAGAAAATAATTTTATGTCCAATTATTTATAATTACTGTATATATAATTAATTTTAAATAAAATAAATTATAAAAATATATTTTATTAAATCAACAATTGATCTAAAAATCAATTTTTCAATTATTTTATATAAATATATTTAAACACTAATAGATGGCACTAATAGATACAGTATTTAAATATGTATATTAAATAAACATTTAACATATACTGTATATTATAAATATTTTTTTATATTTAAAAAATTATATATTTAAAT